CCAGAACACTATTTTTTTTTTTTTTACCCCCAAAAGAAACACCATACCCTTTAGCTATCACCTTGGACTCTCCTCATTCTACCCAGCACCAGACAACTGCCATCTCACTTGCTCTATGGATTTGCCTCTTCTGGACATTTCATATAAATGGAATCACACACTATATAATCTTTATGACTGGCTTGTCTCACTTAGCATCATATTTTCATACTTCATCCATGTCATATCATGTGTTAGTTCCTCATTTCCTTTTATGGTCAAATACTACCCCATTGTATGAATAGATGACATTTTATTTATCCATTCATGAATTGATGGACATTTGTATTGTTTCTACTTTTTGGCTATCATGGATCATGCTGCTGTGAATATTTGTATACGAGTTTTTACAAGAACATGTTTTCATTTCTCTTGGCTATAGACCTAGGAGTGGAATTGCTTGGTCCTACAGTAACTCCATCTTTAACTGTAAGAGAAACTCCAAACTGTTTTCCTAAGTGGCTGTACCAGTTTACATTCCCACCAGCCATGTATCTAATTTCTCGACATCCTGTGTGTGGTAGACTTTTAATAGGGAAAGAATAGAAAGAATAATTCTTTAAGCTTGATTTTCTAGTTCAGTAGATGCTAAAAGAGGACTTTCTTCCAATGCTTTAATTAACAGCACATTCTATTAGAAAAAAGTCCTTGGTCCTCAGGGTTGTCTTGTCATACTGGGAAGACACTTTAAGAAGGAAGAAGGTAAGAAGATTAATCCATATTCAAATAAAAATACAAAGCCTGAGGAAATTTTTTCTCAGTATTTTTATTACATCAATAGGGATTTCTTTCTTTTTTTTTTTTTTTTGAGAAAAAGAATAATAAGAAAAAGAATAAAGAAGAGGAAGAAAGAGAAAGAGGAAGAGGGAGAGAGAATGGGGGTATTGCTTTGTTGCCCGGGCTAGAATGCAGTCTAAATATGGGTATGCCTATAATTGTCCTTAATAATGGAGACATGAAAGAAAATGAGGGAAGAGAGTAACAAACAAGGAGCCAACCAACATTTCGTTTAAACTTCTAAGTTGGTATGATGTGGTACTGATAAGAGTGTATATTTTGTGTAAAGTGGAGAGTTCTATAAATGTTAATTACGTTTACTTGTTCCAGATCTGAGTTCAAGTCCTGGATATCGTTGTTAATTTTCTGTCTCATTGATCTGTCTAATATTAATGTTGAAGTCTCCCACTATTATTGTGTGGGAGTCTAAGTCTCTTCATAAGTCTTGTATGTCTGGGTATTCCTGTATTGGGTGCGTGTATATTTAGGACCTTTAACTCTTCTGGTTGTTGCGTTGATTCTTTTATCATTATATAATGTCCTTCTTTGCTTCTTTTGATCTTTGTTGCTTTAAATACTATTTTATCAGAGGCAAAAATTGTAACTTCTGCTTTTTATTTATTTATTTTTGCTCTCTGGTTGGTTGGTAAGTCTCTCTCCATCCCTTGTTTTGAGTCTTTGTGTATCCTTGAATGTGAGATGGGTCTGGATGCAGCATACAGTTTTAGTTTTTTGTCCAAATTTCCTGTCTTTGAATTGAGGAATTTAGTCAATTTAAATTTAGAATTAATGATATATGTGAGTTTAATACTGTCATTTAATATTAGCTGGCTATTTTGCCCATTAGTTGATGTAAATTCTTCATTATATTGATGTTCTTTAGTTTTTGGTATTTTTTAGAAAGGCTGATACTGTTTGTTCCTTTCTATGTGTAGTGGTTCTTTCAGAAGCTCTTGTAAAGCAGGCCTGGTGGTGATGAATTCTCTGAGTGCTTGCTTGTTCACAAAAAACTTTATTTTTCCTTCACTTATTACGCTTAGTTTGGCTGGATGTGAAATTCTTGGTTGAAAGTTCTTTTCTTTAAGGATGTTGAATATTGGTCCCCACTCTCTTCTGGCTTGTAGGGTTTCTGCTGAGAGATCTGTTGTAAGTCTGATAGGCTTCCCTTTGTGGGTAACCTGACCTTTCTCTCTGGCTGCCCTTAGTATTTTCTCCTTCATTTCAACCCTGGTGAATCTGACGATTATGTGCCTTGGAGTTGCTCTTCTTGAGGAATATCCTTGTGGTGTTCTCTGTATTACCTGGAGTTGAATATTTTCCTGCCTTACTAAGTTGGGAAAATTTTCCTGAATAATATCCTGAAGCATATTTTCCAGCTTGGATTCATTCTCTTCGTCACATTCAGGTACACCTATCAAGCGTAGAATAGATCTTTTCACATAGTCCCATATTTCTTGGAGACTTTGCTCATTCCTTTTTATCCTTTTTTCTCTAATCTTGTCTTCTTGTTTTATTTCATTGAGTTGGTCTTCGACCTCTAATATCCTTTCTTCTGCTTGATCAATTCGGCTGTTAAAACTTGTGCATACTTCACGTAGTTCTCGTATTGTGTTTTTCAGTTCCATCAATTCACTTATTTTCCTCTCTAAATTTTGTATTCTTGTTGACATTTCGTCAAACCTTTTTTCAAAGTTCTTAGTTTCTTTAAATTGTGTTAGAACAAGTTCTTTTAATTCACAGAAGTTTCTTATTATCCACGTTTTGAAGCCTGCTTCTGTAATTGGAACACACTCGTTCTCCATCAAGCCTTGTTTCGTTGCTGATGAGGAACTGGGATCCCCTGCTGAGGAAGAGGCGTTTTGATCTTGGGTATTCTCAGCCTTTTTTGACTGTTTTCTTCCCTTCCTTGTAGATTTATCCATCTGTGGTCTTTATAATTACCGTCTTTGTAATTGGGTTTCTGAGTGGACGTCCAACTTATTGATTCTCAGCGCCAAAATCTGAGCAACCCACTGCGCCGACCAAATCAGCGGCGTTAAGATTGATGGTGCTTTTCTGACTCTGCCCCAAGAACCGACGCTCTGAGGCGCCGGCAAGACCGCCTCGCCGGTCACAAGAGTCGCGCTGGCGACCCGTGGGGCTCCTCCGCTGGGAATCTCCTGGTGCGTGAGCAACAAGAATTCATGTGAAAGTGTGGCGTCCTCTCGTTCTTTGCGTTTTCAGTGGGAGCTACAATCCCGAGCTGCTAGTGATCAGCCATCTTGGATCTCTCTCGGCCTCAGGGATTTCTTAAGAAATGCAAATACATATTGTTTTGCCACCGATAAAGCAATGTTATTTAAAGGTGGAGACAATGTACAGGATCCTGTACAAAAAGTGTAATTTTTGAGAGCAAAAAGAATTGGAGTGGGGCCAGGTAACTTAAGGAAGAATACGAATCTACTGAAGCAAGCAAGAAAAGTCGGGGTAGAATAGAGCTGGCATAACAGGTAGGACATGGGGGCATCTGGTGTGTCTGGACGCCATGGGGGGGATGGTGGGGGGGGCCGGAAAGAGAGGCTGGGGCACTGTGCCCTCCTGTGTTGTAACATGACCACATTTCTGGTGATAAGATAACATGATATAGGGATGATGGAAAAGTTCCTAATCCTGAAATAGTAGTGCTGAACTCATAAAACACTTACCGTGAATCTAACTCTATACTAGGCTCTTTTATTTACCTGTTTATTTTTTTATTCACTTGTTTATTTTTGAGACAGGGACTCACTCTGTTGCCCAAGCTGGCATGCAGTGATGCAGTCATAACTCACTGCAGCCTCAAACTCCTGGGCTTAAGAGGTCCTTCTGTCTCAGTCTACCAAGTAGCTGGGACTGCAGGCATGTGCCACCATGCCTGGCTAATTTTACATTTTTGCAGAGATGGGGTTTCAACATGTTGCCCAGGCTGGTCTTGAACTCCTGGGCTCAAGCACTCCTCCCACCTCAGCATCCTAGAGTACTGAGATTACAGGCATGAGCCACTGCATCTGACCCTAAGCACTCTGTATCCGTTACCCGTTTACTCCTCCTAACAAGCCTATGCTTTAGGTACAATTGTCCTCATTTTGCAGATGGTGAATTAAAGGCACACGGAGGTTAAGAAATTGCTCAGATTACCACAGTGAATAAGTAATGACGATGACCTTTGTACCCTGGTGCCCATGAGCCTCTCAGGTCCATGGCCTCAGGCACTGTGCTAGCATTCCACCTGTCTATGTTTTCTTCACCTACATTGTCTGAATACAATTAAAAACAATTAACCATCTTGTGATTTTAGTTTAAATGAAATCAATTTAAATAATTACTCAAAGTCACGTGATGTGATAACAGTTTTCAAATTAGTCGTGATGTAACGTAATGTAATATGCCAAGGGGTATATTGCAAGTTGAAGCAGAATGCAGGGATTTATAGACCACGTTATGAAGATTCCAGTTTGTGCAGAGACCAGGAGAAGCACTCAGTTTTCATCTTTGGAGTCAAGTGGTCACATTTATGCTTTGGAAATATCCCTCGCATTGCAATGAGGGGTTTGTATTGGAGGAAATGGGAGATGAAAATCAATCAGGATTCTTACGATAGTTAAGGTGAGAAATGAGAATGATCTGAACTAAGACCAGGGCGGCGGCAGTGGACAGAGGGCACGTGCAAATCTAAGAAAGATGAAGGGGTCACCAGTTGGTTTCTGGGAAGGCAGACAAGGCTAGAACCATGTAAGTCTCCCAGGATTCCAAGAGGACCACAGGGAAGTTAGAGATACAGTTCATCAGAATGGATTTTGATAAAATGGAATTTTATAATAATGAAAATAGCTTCTCAAGAAGAAAAAATGTGTGCATTTTTTTCACTTTTCCATTTTGATTTTTCTTTACAGTACTCACTCTGTTTTCGAGTCAAAGCCATTTTAATCTTATCAGATACGGCATTCCTTTTGCAGAAGCAATTCCAGCAGTTTTAATACTTTAAACTTAATTTATGAAAAGTCTATTCATGCCTTTCTAGGTCATTTAAACAGGCAGCATCTTTCTGCAATTTCCTGGACCCACTGAGTTTGCCCAAGTGCTTACAAATGCATATTGTTCAAGATGATAAATGACTTAGCTAGGAAACTGATGGCTAATTTGTTGAAACCTTCTTATGATTCCAGGCTGCTCTCGCAGGAGGCACCACCATGATCCTTGATTTCGCCATTCCTCAGAAAGGTGACTCCCTCATCGAGGCCTTTGAGACCTGGCGAAGCTGGGCTGATCCCAAAGTTTGCTGCGACTACAGCCTTCATGTGGCAGTGACGTGGTGGAGTGACCAGGTAATGCACCTGGATTCCAGTGTGTTCCCATTGTCCTCTTGTCCTCACACTGCACACGAGCAATGAACTGGTGACACTGATTGCTTCTTTGATGACTGGAGGACCAACTGGCAGGAAGACTTTTCATTGCATATTCTTTTGTATCTTCTGAATTTTTAATCCTGCAAAGTATTATCGATTTTAAAACCTAAGTTTAAAAAATAATATAAAGACAATAGGATACATCCTTATGCTCATTCATAACAGCTTCTCCTAATGTTTAATCGATGAGTCATCAATGCTTTAGGTGTAATGTTTAATATACTGATTTCTCTTTTTCTTAAATTCAATATCCCTGGAATCTTTTAAAGAGTACTTTCCCACAGGTTAGAAATTCAATAAAATATGTTTGACTTCTCAAAAAAAAAAAAAATCAAGGAAATTCTAAATTTAGAATTCTCTAGAACTAGAAGCCTGCCTTCCCACTCATGAGCCTTCTTTAGAGAGGAAGGGACAGGCCTGGACTTCTTCCAGAATCTTCTCCCAGCTGTTTCCTGACCGAGTGATCTTCCTGCTCTGCTGTTACCACCTGGTCAGACCATTTCATAACAGAGCTTAAAGCAACCTTCCATGTCACTAATTACCCAGCCCATGGCAGAAATAACATGATTTAGATAGATAAGACAGTTTTGAGAGATGTTAAAATATGTTGATTTCTTCCTACACAAATTTGTATGTGAATTTTGGAAGAAACTTTTACTTGGAATTTAAATTGCAACATGTTTTTCTATATTGCACTTAATTCAGAAATCTTTTTACCAGAAAGAGTTCACCATTAGGACATTATCTGAGTAACTTATAGTCCCACCTCCCTGACAAACTCAGGCTTTAGACACCAAGTTAATCTAAAACAAATATTCTGTAACAGAGAGTTCAGCAAACATAATAGCAAGGTTTATAGTCCATAGCTAAAGTTAATTTTTCTCCAAACATGCCATTTTTAGTGATCATCTGAACTGTTACACTTTTAGGATCGTCCCTCCTTTCCTTCCCTTTCCCCCCTCCCTTCTTTCCTCTTGTTTTCCCTCCCTCCCTGCCTCCCTTCCTTCCTTCTTTTCTTCTCTTCCCTCAGTCCCTTCCTTCTTCTCTTCCTTTTCCTATTCTCCTTACGTTATAACATGGAACAAAGGTAATGGTGTTTGTCCTTATCAGTGCTTCTCACACTTGAGTATGCAAAAAGTCACCTGGTAAACCTTGCTAAAATGCAGATTGTGGATTCTGTTCAGGGGCGTTATTCATTTGCTAGGGCTGCTGTAATGGTAGCAAACAATGTACCACAAACAAAATGGTTTAAACAACAGACACTTACCATCTCACAGCTGTGGAGGCCAGAAGGCTGAGATCCAGGTATCAGCGGGTTGATTCCTTCTGAGGGATCTGAGGGAGAACTTGTTTTGTTCCTGTCTCCTGACTTCTGGTACTTTGCTGACAACCTTTGGCATTCTCTGCCTTCATCTTCATATAATGTTCTCCCTGTGGCAGGTGTATGTCCCAGTTTCCACTTCATATAAATGCACCAGTTACATTGGATAAAGCCAACGTGCTCATGAACTCATCTTAACAAATTACATCTGCAAGGACTCTATTTCCAAACATGGGGTTAGGGCTTCAACATAAGAATTTTGGGGTCATACAAGTCAGCCCATAGCAGTAGGTTAGAAGCAGGTGGGACCTAAGATTCTGCTTTTCTAGCAAGCAACCAGGTGACACTGTTGCTGCTGGTTTAGGTACCAAACTTTCGGAGGAGCAAGGCTGAAGCCAATATGCTTGCAAGTTGTATAATGAGACTTTTCCATGGATGTCAATGGCAGGGATGATTAATGAGGGCTCTTCTACTCAGGGACCGAAAGATATTTCATGTAAGCAATGCAGATCATGATCCTCTTTAGAAGCCCATCATGTGAGTATGCTAACAATGTTTCAAGCATTTTCTGACTGTAAAGCTAAAGTACTCACTGTAAAAAATCTGAAACTGTTAGGGGGAAAAATGAGGTGCACTATCTCCCGTTCTGTCCCTTGCTGTTGTCACTTAACCTAACTTGGAGCACATTCCATCACTTGCCCACTCCCAGTATTTTGGAGCTTTTTTCCTAAATTAGTTAATTAGTAATTAATTTATTCAATAAATAGTTACTGAGTGGGCACTACACACCAGGCACTGTTCTAGGATACGGCACCGGACATATCTTACAAGGACCCTTCTCCTGTGGGGCTGAAATCCTAGTGGGGCGGACAGGTGATCAGCAAGTAAGAACATGCTATGCCCGGTGATAAGCACCATCAAGAAAAGGGAGGAATCTTACTAAGGGACTATACAGTTATAGCAGTGAGTGGATTCATGTGTAATAGTATTATTCTTAAACTTTGCTGACTCAGTAGGATTACACTGCTTTATTTTGTACTTTTGAGTTAGTAGGAAGTTTATTTTTTGCATGTGTTATTAGGCATTTATAGTTCCTCCGTGAATTGTCGGCAACATGTTTCAACATGTTTTTCTTATCGAGTTGAAAGAACTTTTATTAGCTAAGAGCAATAATCCTATGCATGTTACGTTTTTCATTATGTGTGTGTGTATGTTTTTACATATAGAAGTTCAAACAGTCTTATTTGGTCAAATCTACACTTTTTTCCTTTGAAATTTTTGATCCTTATTGAGGTTTGAATCTAACCTACAAGAGCAATTATAATTCCAGGAGTTTGGGAGGTCAAGGCAAGTGGATCACTTGAGGTCAGGAATTAGAGATCAGCCTGGCCAACATGGCAAAACCCCATCTCGACCAAAAATACAAAATTAATTGGGCATGGTGGCGCACCCCTGTAATCCCAGCTACTTGGGAGGCTGAGGCAGGAGAATCACTTGGACCTGGGAGGCAGAGGTTGCAATGAACCAAGATCACGCCACTGCACTCCAGCCTGGGCAACAGAGCGATAATCTGTCTCAAAAAAAAAAAAAAAAAAAAAAAAAAAAAAAAAAAAAAAAAAAAGGCAATTATTGAGATAGTTTTGACATTAACTTGACCCTGACCCTTGGCAACCCTGAAGGCCTCTGAACTTCCAATGGATCCAGAGTCTCCAGCTCTCACCTCTGAGGAGCTGCCAGTGGGTCTCATGCCCACCACAGCTGGCCCTACAGCTAAACCCTGAGTTCGTGCTTTCTCGGGCATGCCTGAGTCCTTCTGCGTCTTCTACTTCCTCCTTCTAAGAACTCCACCCGTGGCTTTCAGATTTGAACTGGAATTCTTACCTCACATTAACGTTCATTCCTGCTGGATATATGGTTGCTTCTGTTGCTGCCAACATGGTTTCATGCTCATTTTCTAAAATAATTTCCTTGAACTAGGAGATAGATGCAGAGAATTTTATATCCAAATACAGAAATAAAGTACTTTGGGAAAAGCTCTTTGCTTTTTCATGATTTAAAAGTATGAGAGCAGCAACAGTTTATCAGATGAAATGGGGTATAACCTGGGAGAAAGATCAAGGCCTTGATTGCATTTTTGTGGAACTAAACTCTTGTCCTTATTTTACTTATTTCTCTTCCAAATGCAACATTTTAGAGAATGTTGAGATTATCATTTAAATTAGAGTAACATATTGTTGTTATGGTTGCTGCTGCCTTTTAGGTTAAAGAAGAAATGAAAATCCTTGCGCAAGATAAAGGTGTTAACTCTTTCAAGATGTTTATGGCCTATAAAGATCTGTACATGGTGAGAGACCTGGAGCTGTACGCAGCCTTCTCTCAGTGCAAGGAAATTGGGGCAATTGCCCAGGTCCATGCAGAAAATGGAGACTTAATTGCAGAGGTAAGCATTTGCATTCCAAAGCTTCTACAGAAATGACAGCAGCCATAACTTAAGGTGAAGATGATTGGGTCTACATAGGTAAACTCATTTAATGCATTGGAAGATGAGAAATCCAGAAATGGATTTTCTGTGGCTCAGAAACTCCCGACTTCATTTACTGGAGTCCCTGCTCTCAGCTTTTTGCAGGTAGTACACGCACTTGAATGAGAATTTCCCCTTTGCAAACCAGCTCTTAGATCTCAAACATGTGCTGTTTTGAAAACACAAATACTTTTCTTTGTGTCGTCCAGCACAGTTTTGGCTTTGTTGTTGTTTTTCAGAAGCTCAGGCTGCTGATTCAGAACACCAAAGCATGGACAACATCTGTGTCATCTTATGACTTAAGTAGTGTGTTAGGTAGCTGTTGAAAGCCCTACTCTTTTCAGAAACTGGATATTAAAATGTGCTCTGGAGGAATCGAGATGATATTTATTTCTCATGTTAGTCTCATTATTAATGCCTGAAGGGTACACCATCTGCAAGATTTAAAGAGCTGTCTCTTGCTCTTTATATTAGCTGATTTTTTTTTTTTTTTTTTTTTTTTTTGGTCTCCCTAGACTCAGCTCCCATTAAACTGAGTGAGATTGAGGTTCAGTGGCCACAAGGCAGAGAGGAATAATGAGAAGAGAGCGTAAGCTGTAAAAACAAAACAAAACAAAAAACAGACGAGGGTTTAAATTAGACTCTTCTATTCTATAGTTTCATGACACCAGGAAGTCTTTTTACCACTCTGAGTCTTGACTTCATCCCCTTCTTTTAAGGAAGAAATAACATTTTGAAGAAGAGAGATGACAGGTCGAATACCATTTAGTGGGTTGGATTGGGTAGCAAGTGAAGAGGATTAGTCCATAAGAAAAGCAGAACTGATTACAGAGTATGACAATGAGTCACTTCAATAAGGATCCATGGTATTTTATTTTGTTTGATCAATATTAAGTCTTAAATACAGGTATTGCTTTTCAAAGAATGTGATTAGAACTGACTTCATATCTTTTTCACCTTTTCTTTTTAAAGTTTTTTATTTTTGTAGGGCATATACTAGGTGTATATATTTATGGAGTACATGAGGTATTTGATATAGGCATGCAATGCATAAGAATCATATCATGGAAAATTGGGTATCTATCACCTCAAACATTTATCCTTTATTTTACAAACAATCTAATTTTACTCTTTTATTTTAAAATGTACAAATATTGACTATAGTCCTGTTGAGCTATCAAGTACTAAATCTAATTCATTCTTTCTAACTTTTTTTTTTTTTTTTTTTTTGAACACAGGAACCATTCCCACCTCCCCCCACATCCCTCTCCAATACCCTTCCCAGCCTCTGGTAAACATCCTATTTTATATCTCCATGAGTTTAATTGTTTTAATTTTTAGATGCCACAAATAAGTGAGAAAATGCAATGGTTGTCTTTCTGTGTCTGGCTTATTCCACTTAACATAATGACCTCCAGTTCTATCCACATTGTTGCAGACGACTGGATCTCATTCTCTTTTATGGCAAGATCTTACTCCCTTGTGCATCTGCCACATTTTCTTTATCCATTCATCTGTTGATGGTCACTTAGGCTGCTTCCAAATCGTGGCTAAACAGTGCTGCAACAAACATGGTAATATCGATATATCTCTTTGATATACTGATTTCCTTTCTTTCACATATATGTCCAGCAGTGGGATAGCTGGATCATATGGTAGCTCTATTTTTAGTTTTTTGAAGAACTTCCAAACTATTCTCCGTAGCAATTTTACTAATTTACATTCCCACCAACAGTGTATACAGGTTCCCTTTCTCCTCGTCCTTACCAGTGTTTGTTATTGCCTGTCTTTTTAATATAAGCCATATTACCTGGGGTGAAACAGTATCTCGTTGTAGTTTTGATTGACATTTCTCCGATGATCAGTGATTTGAGCCCTTTTCATATGCCTGTTTGCCATTTGTATGTCTTCTGTGGAGAAATGTCTGTTCAAATCTTTTGCCTGTTTTTACATCAGATTATTACATTTCTTTTTCCTGTAGAGATGTTTTAGTTTTGAATATATTCTGGTTATTAATCCCTGTCAGATGGGTAGTTTGCAAATGTTTTTTTCCCATTCCTTGGGTTGTTTCTTCACTTTGTTGATTGTTTTCTCTGCTGTGCAGAAGCTTTTAATTTGACATGATCCCATTTGTCCATTTTTGCTTTGCTTGCTTATTCCCTTTTCCAGTTAAAAAAATATGATTGCAAAATATGCATATGGAAATTAACTTATACTATTAGAATATTACAATTATTTTTACCAAATACACATGCTATATACGTATACACCCACACAAACGTGTCCACATGGACGGACACACACACACACACACAGCCCTACACCTAACAAATCAAAAGCCTGGCGCCGCATTTAATTTATGATAAAATAATGATGTCTGTCATTAGTAAATCTTCCTTACACGTATACACATTCCTGCTGTCTTTTTAGGGAGCAAAGAAGATGTTGGCTCTGGGGATAACAGGCCCTGAGGGCCACGAGCTGTGCCGCCCAGAGGCAGTGGAGGCAGAGGCCACACTGAGAGCCATCACCATAGCCAGCGCTGTGAACTGTCCTCTGTACGTTGTGCATGTGATGAGCAAGTCTGCAGCTAAGGTGATAGCGGATGCAAGGAGAGATGGTAATTCCTGAATGTAACCTCACTTAGAACTCAGTGTTAGCTGAAGAGGAAAGTCAATGTCTGTAGTCTCTGCTTCAGTTTATGAGAAAGTACACGAGTATTTCCACAACTTTTCTTCCTCCCTTTTTATTAGCCTTCTGCTTTCACTTATTCTTCTGTGTGTCTGTTTTTCCCCACTTTTGTTCATCTTCATCCCTGCCTCTCTGCCTTCAGGTTTTATTTATTATTTGATCTCCATCCTTGGGACCCCAGGACATTTCCTTTAGCTACATGGCTCCACCCTCAATGCCACTAGCAGCCACTTTTAAATCTGATAGGTAAATGCAAAGCTCTCCAGTTTTTTGTTTTGTTTTGTTTTGTTTGTTATGGAGTTTCACTCTGTCACCCAGGCTGGAGTGCAGTGGTGTGATCTTGGCTCACTGCAACCTCCACTTCCTAGGTTCAAGAGATTCTCCTGCCTCAGCCTCCTGAGTAGCTGAGATTACAGGTGAGCACCACCACACCCAGCTAAAATTTATATTTTTAGTAGAGCGGGGATTCACCATGTTGGCCAGGCTAGTCTCAAACCCCGGACTGCTGATCATCCACCTGCCTTTGCCTCCCAAAGTGCTGCGATTACAGGTGTGAGCTACCATGCCCAACCCTCTTCAGTTAATTTTAAAGACGTTTCCCTATCTCTTAGGCAGCTCCACTACCCCTCCCACTACCTGAATCGGGGCAGTACAAGGCACCTAGTACATGCTAAATAAATTTCTTTTGAATTGAATTGATTTGTCTGACAGCCACTTGGGTGTTGGAGCAATTGAAGCAACTATCCAAATCGTTTTTTTTATGATGGTTATTTCAATATTTTAAAACCCAAGTTACTTTTACCCCAAACTGCTTAATTGCCTCAGTTGCCTAGTTTAGTCTAGTATGTATATACTCATCTTAAAGGAAAGAGAAATATCTCCTATTTTTGATAAGCATTGGTAAAGAAATGATTTAATTCTTTTGCCAATACTGGTAAAGAAAGGATGAAAAACAATTAAGGTGTATTTTACTCAATGACTTTAGGTCCATGGTAGCTTCTGTCATCTCAATTTTAGGAACACAGATAATCAGAGACAGTCTTATAATTCAACCTTGCTTTTTTTTTTAAATTAAAAATGGCTGTATTTTTGTAAGATTTATTATAAAAATAATGGGTCTCACTCTGTTGCCCACGCTAGAGTGCAGTGGTGCAATCACAGCTCATCGCAGCCTCTACTTCCCAAATGATCCTCCCATCTCAGCCTCCCAAGTAGCTGGGACCACAAGCATGCACCAACATGCCCAGCTAATTTTTAAATTTCTTGTAGAGACAGGGTCTCGCCATGTCGCCCATGCTAGTCTTGAACTCCTGAGCTCAAGGAATCCCCTCACCTCAGCCTCCTAAAATGTTGGGATTATAAGCATGACCCACCTCATAGTTTTGGCATGTATATAATTGATACCAAAATAAATGTCAAAACTTCTTCTTGTTGCATTAAGGTTTAGTAATGATTTTGTGCAAGCCGTGTGCACTTTTAAAATGTAATCCATCAATATCTTGTCTTAAGAGTAAGCTTATTTCACATAGAAGTTAATAATGTCTTATTAACCAACCATTTCTGATTGCTACCCTCTTATGTAAAAGAACTTCACCCCTTTTTAAGTGCTGCAATGTTAAAGTCATAGATTTTCCCCACCAGATGGTGCTGTTGTCAACTCTATGAGATTAGTTGGTCTCATTATTTGCTTGGTAAGTCGTGTACCGAGTCCATAATGTCAGAATGTTATTTAGGGAACAGTGAAATCAGCAGAAATTTTCACTTCTAACCCACCCTCAAGCTCCAATTTTGACAGTTCTGTCAGGAAGCAGTATTTTGATCTTGGGTATTTGTTTTGCATTGGGATAGAATTCCATCAGGAGCAAAGTAAAAGCCTAGGGAAGGTTTTAGAATACAGATCATAGGCAGAAAACTAGTAAATACAGCATTTAATTCTATTGTAAATTGTTTTAAAATTCAATATTATTTCTTGAATCTGTAAAACATTTACCTGGTCCAAGAGTCAAAATTCTACATAAAAATGTTCAATGAAATTTTACTTGCCTTCTTTAGCTTCTTCTTCCCATACAGTATAAGTAATGATTTTTATTAATTTATTTCTAACCTATCTTTACCACATTTCTCTTTACCAAATAAGAATATATTGCTTCTTTCCCACATAAAAGGTAGCATACTATATGCCTTGTCTACACATCGCTTTTTTTTCCCACTTGAAAATATGTTCTGACGGTCAGCCCACACTAGATACAGAGATTTTCCTCATTCTTTTTTGCAATTGTAGAATATGCTACTTTTTTTAGTCAACGAGTCCCCTATTGTTGGACATCTGGGTTGTTTCCGATCTTTTGCTGTTTCAAGTGAAACCACACTGATGGCCTTATGCATAAGCCATTTCGATTTGTGGAAGACAAGCTAGTTTGGAGGTCAGAAGCCTGAAATGGATCTCACCAGGCTACAGCCAAGGTGTCTGCAGGGCTGCATCTTTTTCTGAGGTCCTAGGAAGCCCTTGCCTTTTGTGCCTTTGCAAGGCTCCTCGCATTACTTGGCTCATTGCCCCTTCCTCCATCTTCAGCCCCAGCAACAATGGGTTGAGATCTTCTCACAACACATTATTCTGATGCTTTTGCCTCTCTCTTTCACTTTAAGGGCCCCTTATATTAAGCCTACCTGATTAATTCAGGATAATCTCCCCATTTCAAGGACTTTAATTTAATCATTATCTATTAATCCCTTTGCCACATTAAGTAACATATTCACAGGTTATGGGGATTAAGACGTGGACCTCTGCTGAGCTCCATCTTTCTGCCCACCACAAAATGGGTATCTTGAGGGTAGATTCCTAGAAGTGGGATTGCTGGTTCAAAGAGTAAATGCATATGTAATTTTGGGGATATTGCTCACATTTTCCCCAAGGAATTGTAAACATGAAATATTTAAAATACTACCCCAAACGTTGTAGTTGAGTCAGACTTACTGTGACAGTATAATACTTGTGAAAATACCCTCATGCATAATTGTCAAAGAGGCAACATTGCTCCAGAATAAAATAGTCTGAAAGATTCCCCATCCCATGACCAAGGCCTGTAATCAAGCAGGGACCCAAATAGGAAGTGTTGGACGTAAACTGTGCCCAGCTGTTCACATGGTGACTGCATCAGCAAACCAAAGGACAGATCCCTGGGGAGTGCAGTGGGACAAGAGCTGTTGGACCACACTGACCTTTTACAGAAGATGCATCTACCCTGTCTGCACTCCTTTATTATCCAACATCATTTCTAAATGTAAAAGAGCACGGTAGATCTAAATAAGAAATCATTTGGTTTTATACATTTACAATATGAAAATCTCCCATCTGTAAATACCATTGCCAGCCCATTCTCTTGTTGTTTTTTTTCTTTCTTTCTTTCTTTTTTTTTTTTTTTTTGAGACAGAGTCTCTGTCGCACAGGCTGGAGTGCAGTGGCACAATCTCAGCTCACTGCAACTTCAACCTCCTGGGTTCAAGCGATTCTCCTGCCTCAGCCTCCTGAATAGCTAGGATTACAGGCGCCCACCACTATGCCAAGCTAATTTTTTTGTATTTTTAGTAGAGACTGTTTTTCACCATGTTGGCCAGGCTGGTTGAGGTGGCTCACGCCTGTAATCCCAGCCCTTTGGGAGGCAGAGGCAGGTGGATCACCTGAGGTCAGGAGCCCATTCTATCTTCAAGGGCCTTGACTCACAGTGTGGTCCCTAGAATGCAGCCTCCACATTGCCTGGGAGCTCCTTAGACATGCAGGGCCCATCCATATTCCCTGAATCAGAAAGTGCACTTATAACTAGAACCCCAGGTGATTCATATGCATATGAAAGCCTGAGGATCATGGCTCCAGGAGGCACAGAGGAGATCCAATTATTGGTTGCTTTTATTGTGGTAGCCTAGAAATACAATGCTATTAAATTTGATTTTATTGTTCAATTGCCAGCTCTATACCCAGAAGAGCAGGATAGCAATGATAACAACTAACGGTTTGTTGTTGACACATAGTAGTATTTTAATCTCTTTTATCTCATTTCAGGTTTTACTATATTCTTATCAATGTATTTTAATATACATTGTCATAAAAATTATCATAATAATGCTTCATGCTCAATTTTACCACTCTTTTGTGACTGAATGAAATTGAGGCTTGGGAAAGATTGGTAAATTAAGCCAAAGATCACTTTATTAGTAAGTGCTAAACTTGGAATTCAAATCCAATTCTATGTGGCCTAAAGCCAAAACTTTTTCTGTCACTCTCCACTCTGTTAAAGGAGAAATTTATCTAAAGTTGGGAAAACCTGGATACCAAGTTTGTATTTAATGGGTTTGGGGTTTATTTATTTATTTATTTATTTTTAGCGACAGGGTCCCTCTGTTACTCAGGCTGGAGTGCAATAGCACAATCTTAGCTAACTGCCATCTCAGGCTCCCAGGCCCAGATGATTCTTCCAACCTCAGCATTTCCAGTAGCCGAAACTACTTATGTATGCCACCACACCCCACCAATGTTTAACATTTTTTGTAGAAATGAGGTCTCCCTTTGTTGTTCAGGCTGGTCTTGAACTCCTGGCCTCGGGCGATCTTCCTGCCTCAGCTTCCCACAGTGCTGGGATTACAGCAGTGAGCCATCACACCCCGCTGGTTTTGGTGCTTTAAAATTTTTAATTAGTTTTTGACATTACATTAAAATTATTTATTTAAGACATTATCATCATTTTGCTATTTTTGTCATTATTAAAAGATTAACACATGCCGGGAGTGGAAATGATGAAGTATTAATGGAAAGTAAATATCTTCTATCTCCCTCAGCTTGTTCTTTAGAGCCTGTGATGTAAACATATCTATCTTTAGTTTTTGGTGGCAGCCTCTAAAATCCTAAATTTTAAGTTTGTAGTGATTTATAATTTT